GGTACCGGGGATTGAACTCAGGTCCTTGTGCTTGCGATGCAGGCGGCCAACCATTGAGCTAAATCCCCGGCCCTAGCTGTATTTAATTTTAATTTCTTCTTCTGTAAACTGCTTCCCCCGGCCCCATGCATCTGTAGTCCAGGCTGCCTTGAAGTCACTATTTAGCCCACATTGGCCTTGAACTTGCAGAGATCCTACAGCTTCTTTTCTATCTTCTATCTCCTCTCTTCTCTTTCTCCCCATCTCCCATTTGTTTATTGATGAGTGAGAGCCTTCAATCCGTTGCATATGTTGCAAATATTTTTCCTAGTTTGTCATTTGTATTCTTGTGGCTGGCTAGTGTGAGAAATGGAGATGACAACTAAAACACACATTTACAGAGGAAAATCTTTAACTGGAAAGTTAGAGAGAAAATAGGAAAGGATTTCAGTTTAGGTAATGGAGTAGGCCCACTCTGATACAGAGGTTCAGATTGGCCCACCCACAATGGCAGAGGGCAGGTTTTCAAAGATCAGCTGGTAGGGACCAGGATTTAGCTCAGTGGTTCCACCACCTGCCTTCCAAGTGCAAGGACCTGAGTTCAGTCCCTGGTACAAAAACAAAACAAAACGAAATCAAAGATTACCTGGTATGTAGGGGTCTGGTGAATCATCATCTCAGTCCTGGGATCCTCAGAGCTAAGGGAGACTCTATTCCAGTTGTCTTTAACTGCAGTTGTATTATTATTGACAGCTAAGTTATTTAGAAATATTATTGTCAGTCAGACAGGGGTGGGCCCTGGGAAGATGTCAACCCAGTAGACAAGTATGGCTGGAGATGCATTCCTTGATGATCAGGCTTCCAAACAAGGAGAAATGACGACACCCACATATTTCCCCTGGGGATGCAGATCAGGGATTGCATCTATCAGCTTGGGTTGAGGACTAAAATCTCCCTAGCCCATTCCTTCCATGGTCTTTTGATCCCTACTTATCCTTAATCAATGTTACCTAAAGCAACTATACTTGTAACCTTTTTTGGTACTGGGATCTAACTGGGGACCTTGAGCTTTCGAGGCAGGCGGTGGAAACACTGAACTAAGTCCCCAGCCTTATACTTGTAATCTTGTATTTGTTGACTAGTTTGTCCTACTTTATACCTGCCTCACCTCATGGTTTTGCTCCATAAAACTCCCTTGAGAAGTGGAAGCTCCCAGGAAACCCACCTTGCAGGTCCCCTTCTGTCTCTTTTGGACAGAAGCTACCTTATATTTCCTACTCTTAACTTCTGTTGTTCCCAGAATTCTTTCTTTGATTTTAGAGAACATGGACCCGGTGTATCAGACATCTAACAGGTTGGGAGTTATATTTCCCTTATATCATTTGGAGGTCCTTATATCTGACAGATCCCCCAATCGGACCCCCACCCAAGCAGACCTGCTACCCACATCCACGCATCCACAGGAGCACAGAGATAACCAGAAGCCAGCAGCCACCCTGCTGTTGTCCCCACCATCCTGTTTTATCAGGCAGCCCCAGACCCATCACCCATGCGACTCTTAAAATTTTCCACCCTGTTGACCAGAGTGCCCCCTCCCCTACCTAAAATGCACCCTATCATTCATGGGCACCCTCCTCTCGGTGCCAACAGCCTTCTCACCCTTGGCCCATCAAACTCATTGCATGTTGCTTAAATTTTGCCCGCCTCAGTGGTCTCAGTTGTGCCTCGGTTTGACTTTACAATATCATCCCGATATCATACTCCCTGTATCAGTATCCCGCATGTGAGGCTTTGCCTTTCCTAGATTCAGGTAATCGCAGGTTTAGGATCATGGCTGGGAGACTTCTGGGTGTGGCGGTGTCCCTATATAAACCTTTCGTCTTGGTGGGTGTCCTTGATCTTTTTTGGGTACTGGGGATCAAACTCGGTTCCTTACACTTGCTAGGCAGGCAGCAGAACCACTGAGCCAAGGTCTCACTATATGGTTCAGGCTGGCCTTGAGCTCATTATGTAGCCCTAGGGTTGGGGATTAAACTCAGTGGTGCTATGACTGCCTGGCAAGCACAAGGTCCTGAGTTCAAGCCCTGGTACTGGAAATAAAAAGTGTAAAAATGTGGCCTCAGACTCAAAGCAAGTCTCTTGCCTCAGCCTCCCAAGTGTGGAGATTACAGGCATGTGCCACCGCATCTAATTTAGTGTCCCCAGTCTTGAAGGAAAATGAGCTCATGTAAATTGAGGGCTCATCAATTCTATCCAGCCAGTTCAACAGACACTAAATGATCAGCACACCCCTATGAAGATCTGAGAAATGACCTGACACAAGAATTACAGAAACAAAGGTTACACAATGAAGGTCACTGTCAGGTAAAAAAGCCAAGAACCAAGACCAGACCAGAACCACTACAAGCCTTTATTGTAGGAACAATCTGCTGGGTTGTCTCCAATCAAAGGAGAGAGAGCAACATGGCAGAAATGAGAGCTTCTTTTAATGGACTGGGATGGATATATGGGAGCTGGGGTATAGTTAAGTGAGGTAGTATTAAGGGATTGGAGGAACCTGTGACATAATTAGGAGGGGCTTGTGACATCACTGGTTACTCCAGGTGGCAAGTATCTGGTTACTTTTGGTGGGAGAAGAGGCATCATGGGAAGAAGAAGGCTGTCCTGGTAGGTGGGTAGGTGGCAAGTATCTGGTTACTTTTGGTGGGAGAAGAGGCATCATGGGAAGAAGAAGGCTGTCCTTTGGTAGGTGGGAGAAGCCATCTTTTTAGGTGAGAAGCAGGGCATTATGGGAAGGGGACTAATGGCCATTTTAAGGCAAGGGAAATCTAACAGTCACAACTTGTGCTGTTTTTAGTTACCTGTTGGCATCTGTGTGCCCAAGTGAATATGGTTCATAGCAAAAATGCCTTTTAAGTCCCCGACTCTTCCACAAGAAAACACAAATGCTTTTAACAAGTAGTGGAAGGGATTCTTCCTGTTCCCCATCTCTGTGGTGGTCCCTGACTATGTTGTGCCTACACCATTCTGACTTTGACTGAAGAAGTGTTTCACTTTGATGTAGTCAGATTTAAAAATACCTCCATATATGTCTTCTAAGTGTTTTTGTTTGTTTTTCAGACAGGATCTCACTATATTCCAAACTAGACTCAAACTTGCTATGTATCCCTAGCTGGCCTTGAAGTCATGATTCTCCTTCTTCAGCCCCCTGTTAACCAGGCAGGGTATGAAGTGGTCTCCAAAGCAGAGATGGAGAACTTTGACTCACTCCATCCATGAGGCAGGCTGCAAGTTCAGTGACTTCTGTCATAGAAAAAAAAAACTTTTTTTCTTGAGACAGTGTCTCCTATGTAGTTCAAGATGGCCTTGAACTCACTATGTCACCCAGGCTGGTCTTGAATTTGGGGTAATATTCCTGCCTTGGCTTCCCAAGTGATGGTGATATAAGAGAAATACCACACAAAACCTAGATGTCAGATATGGTCATTTCTTGTCCCCCGCATATTAAAGAATGAATTCACTCAGACAGTGGAAGCTAAATTGAAAAGGCTTATTGAGAGATAGCTCCTGAGAGATAGGAGGGGTCCTGAGTGGTGGCCATGGAGGCCCTTTGCCAGGGGTAAATTTATACAGCAATGTCACAATGTAGATATAGTACACTTAAAAACAAAGGAGCTGAGTTATTCCCTTCCCTCCATTTCAATGAAAAAGGCACCCTATGGTTATTCCTTCTTCCTTTTTCCTAAGAGAGATAAAAAAATAATAATAATAGCCTAGGAAGCCCGGCATGGTGGCGCATGCCTGTAATCCCAGCACTCGAGAGGCTGAGGCAGGAGGATCACTTGGAGTTAGAGACCAGTTTGGGCTACATAGTGAGTTCCAGGTCAGCCTCAACTACATAGTGAGACCCTGTCTCAAAAAACAAAGCAAAAACAAAAATAAATAAGTAAAAGCCTAGGAGATCACCACACCCTAGGAGCTAGTGAGAGATTTAGTAGGAGGCACCAAAAGCAGAAATGTCTGACCTTTAAATTCTAACAGCATGAGTTATGGGGCCTCCCTTTTCCCCTTTCTTGTTACTAGCTTTCCTGTGATCTTCAATAAATGTAGCTACTTACTATGTACTACTGGGTGTATGATTGGCAATTCTTTCCTCCTTCTATGCAAGACCCTAGAAGATTACAAGTATAGCTGCTTAGCTAATATTGATTGAATAGGGAGCAAGGGTATGTGAAAAGAACAAAGGCATTTTTGGGAAGGGATGGGTCCAGATGCTCTGGTCATCTGATACCTATCTAGATTTACTGGACTAGGTGGTGCTAATTACAATATAATCTCTGATGGCTCAAGTGCAACAATCACAGTCCTTACAATTAGTTGTTTATCTTTTCTTTTTTTCTTTTTACACAGGGTCTCACTATGTAGTTGAGACTGACCTGGAACTCACTATGTAGCCCAGGCTGGTCTCAAACTCACAGTGATCCTCCTGCCTCAGCCTCTCGAGTGCTGGGATTACAGGCGTGTGCCACCACGCCCAGCTTTTTTTTTTTCTTCATAGGGAATTCATACTGTGTAAATATTTTATTTCTACACCCCCATTCCCCTCCCCTACATTCAATCCCTGTTTTACCTCCACATTTACAAATGCTGTTTCCATTTGTTTTTTCTTTACCTTCTCTTCCTTTTCCCTTCCCTTCCCCTCCCTTATTTCCTTTCCCATATCAACTTGTTCTTCCTACTTCCCGATATCTATCATACATTTTGGTGCTTATTTACCCTTTAAATTTCTCACACCAAAGAAACAATGTGATATATTTAAGATTATGGTTTCTTTTGTCATAGCTCATTTACCTCGATACCTCAAATGATAGAGCAGAAAAAATGAGTTAAAAAGAAACAGTAAAAGGTCTTGGTGAAGTTGAACCTCGTGCCCGGAAGGGAAGAGCCTGGTTTCTTTGCCAGGGATTTCCGGGCCCGAGGACCCGGGAAACCAGCGGAACGCAGGTGCGCGAGCGGGCGGAGCTGGAGGAATCCGGCTGCTGTGGACTTCACAGCAGCGGGGGACCGGTTTGGCGGAGACACAGGGCCGCTAGCAGGCCGCCGTGATGCTACCCTCTTTGCAGGAGTCGCTGGATGGGGACGAAAAGGAGCTAGAGAGCAGCGAGGAGGGAGGTTCTGCGGAAGAGCGGAGACTCGAGCCGCCGCCCAGCAGCCACTACTGTCTCTACAGCTACCGCGGAAGCAGGTGCCGCAGTCCAGCTCAGCCTGCCGGGCTGCCCCAGCCGTCCCTCCCCGGGCCCGCCGCCAGGCCTTGCACCCCACCCGCGGCCCGGCCGCTCCCAAACGTCAGCTTCTCCTCTCCCAGACAAGGTCTCTGGCCATAAAGGTCCACACCACGTCCCTCCCTTCTTTCCGGCTCTTGTATTGGCTCTTCCGAGCCTCTGCCATCACTGTCCTCACGTCCCTGACCCTGTCATTGTTTAGCGCAGCTCTGGCAAGTTAGTTTCTGCCTTCTGTTGTCCTGTTATCTCCGTTACCTCCCTTTTCTGCCACACCCACTTTCACCCTCCCGGTTTCTTCTGCCCTTGCTGCCTCGTTTTCCTCTGGCTGACCTTGCAGGGTCTTGCTTGGCCCTATAAAGTCAGTTTTGAGTCTTTCTGCCTGTTAGACCTTTGCTCCACATCCTTAAGTAGCCTGGAAAGAGAAGGGGCTCTTGTCAGTGCTTTTTATGGGTTTTCCCTTTCATGCACATAGGCTATGGAGGACCCGAGCACTTTGACCTTACTCAGCTTGCAAGGGCCCCGTACTCTGCTTGATTCAGAGTACATAACTGATATCACAATTGCTTTTGTGGCTTACAGATTGGCACAGCAGAGAGGAGACAGCGATGATGGAAACCCAAGTGGTACCAATGTGGAAACTCCCTCTGGTGATGTCTTCAGGTAACAGCCCAACCATAACCCGTTCATGTGCTTGCATTTATATTTTCTGTGCATCTCTAACCTGTAGATGTCAGTGGGCTCCCTGTTTCCACTGGGCTTTCCCATAGTCAAACTACTTATCAGTTCTTTTCTATCCCCTAGGAATCCCTCCCGATTTCCTTATTGGCTCATTCGTTCCAGGCCAAGGCAGATCCAAGTACTGATGCTGCCTCCAATTAGCTAGAGAGAAATAGTTTGAGTTTCTTGTCGGAACTCCACCTACACACACACACACACACACACACACATATTTTGAGACAGTCTTGCTGTGTAGTTCAGGGTGGCCTTGAACTCACTGTAGCCCAGGTTAGCCTCCAACTTGCACCTATCATCCTGGCTAGGTCTCCTGAGTGCCAGGATCACAGGTGAGTGCCACCATGACCAGCCTATTATTTCAAGATTTAATTTAATTTTAAATTTTTTTTCAAAATTAATTTTTTTCAAGATTTAATTTGAATCCTTTTTGGTTTTCCACTTTTGAATACTCTTTTTAGACAGTGTCTTCCTTTGTCTGTTTATCCAGGCTCATCTCAAACCTCTCCCTTCTCATTTTGGGATTACTGGCCTGCATCACCATGCTCCTATACCATACACTAGATTACAGTGAAGAGAATGTTTGTTTGTTTGTTTGTTTTTTGTACCATGGATCAAACTCTGGACCTTATGCATGCTAGGCAGACAGTGGAACCACTGAACTAAATCCCCAGCCTCCAGTGATTAAAATGTAAATCCTAGGACAGCAGGGATTGTCTCTTTTATTCAGTAAGACTCTATTTTGTTTCTTAGTGGTGCCTGGCACAGAGTAGACATTTAATACATTTTTATTAAGTGTATGGATCAATGTACATATCTTGATATTTGATGCAAAAAAAGGTAATACAAAAATTCAGGGTTCATTAAATGAATAATGCGTGATTGTTCCTTTTTTTTTTTTTTTTTTTTTGAGATGTGGTCTCACTATATAGGTCAGGCTGGCCTTGAACTCACTATGTAGCTGTGATAATCCTGCTGCAGCTTCCTCAGTGCTTGGATTAAAGGTGTATATCACCACACCCAGCTAGATAATGGATGATTTAAAAATTTTCAGGGGCCAGGGATTTAGCTCAGTGGTTTTGCCACCTGCCTTGCAAGCGCAAGGACTCAAGTTTGATCCCCAGTACCAAAAAAAAAAAAAAAAAATTTTTTTTCAGATGTCACAAAATATTTTTTGTCAATTCTGTGGATTGAGCCCTAGGGCCTTTGCACTAAGCTATATTCGGTCCTTTTTTTATTATTAGTTTGGGACCAGGTTTCACCAAGTCACAGAGTTGCCCAGGCTGGACTCTTTAATTTATGGTCCTCCTACCTCAAACTTCCAGAGTGCTGGAATTACATATGTGCACCATCAAACCTGGCTTGTTTGACCCCATTACCATTGGGCCTCTGGTGACTCAGTACATCAGGTGGTGGCACAGACCTAATCTCCCCATTAAGGGCATACCCCCAGACCTAACTTTTTCTAGGCCCTTTTTTTTTTTAACCAGGTATAGAACTCAGGACATTGTGCTTATGAAGCAGGCGGTGGCACCACTGAGCTAAATCCCTGGCCCAAGGTCCTATCTTCTAAAGTTTCCTAAGAGCACCAAGGACAGGGATTAAGCCTTTAACACATGTGTCTTTGGGGAACATTCCAGATCCAAATTATCACAACAGGGATCTGGTATACAATTGTCAAATCCTTAGGAGAAAAGCTAAAGCCAGGCATTGCTGGCCTGTGATCCTAGCCCATAATGCCAGCATTTGGGAGGCTGAGGCAGGAGGATCACTGGGAGTTCAAGGCCATCGTGAGCTACATAGTTAGTTCAAGGCCAGACTACATAGCAAGACCCCGTCTCAAAAAAACAAAAAAAGATTTTGGAATTGGGACCATTCTTTTGATTTACGGGTGAATACACTGGTCCACTGGTAAGGAATGTGTCTCATTTGTCAAGCCTCTCTTTGGCGGATACTAATCTACCATCTGAAGTGGAGCCAGAGCTGCGAAGTTTCATTGCTAAGCGTCTTTCCAAGGGAACAGTCTTTGAAGGGCTCGGTAATGTTGCATCAGTGGAGCTGAGGTAAGTGTAAAATGTGCTGTGTCTTGAGTTTTTAATTTCTGGGCTAAATATGAGAAGCAGTGATAAACTCCAAAAGATTATTTCTTTCTGGACTTTCTGATAGTCTGAGTTCTGGGTCTCACACATAAACATTTGTGGAATGAGATTGAATGGTAGAGATTCTGGAATCTAAATGTACTATTAGTTTTGTACGTAGAAGAAAAGAGTCAGTTACCAAAACCAATATTGTATACTTTATAGTTTGTAATGTGTTTCACCAATTTTGATGCAGTGAACCCTATAAAGGGGAGATAGATCGGTTCTCATTTCCATTTTCAAATGATTATATGCACTCTGAGAAGTTAAATGGAATGCCCAAGGTCACAGGGCTGGTTATCTTGCTGGAGTTCAGGTTTAAACAAAGGCATCCTCAGGCCAATTTCAGATGTCTTCCCATTACCCTTCTTTTTTTTTTTTTTGAGACAGGGCCTCTCTGTAGTTCAGACTGCCCTGGAACTCACTGTGTGGCCCACTCTGGTCTCAAACTCACAGAGATTGCCATCCTCCTGCCTCTGCCTCCCGAGTGTTGGGATTACAGGCGTACGCCACCACACCTGGCAGATTTCTTTGTTTTTGTTTTTTTTTCTTATCGGGGATCGAACCCCGGACCTTGGGCTTGGGAAGAAGGTGGTGGCAGAGCTAAATCCCTGGCCCCCCATTACCCTTCTTTAGACTGTAAAGTTGGCATGTAAGTCCCTCAGGAGTAGGAAGCCAGGCATCCAGGATAAGGCCACAGGATGGACCTGGTACATCTGCCTGGAGCATCGGTGACTGAAGGTTCAAGGTAGGGGAAGAACATACTTATATTCACATACATGTGGGTGTACAATGAATAAAAGTGAAATCACATGAAAATGGTTTGTTTTGTTTTGTTTTGTTTTTTTGGTACCAGGGATTGAACTCAGGTCTTTGTGCTTGAGAGGCAGGTGGCAGATCCACTAATCTAAATCCTCGGCCCTTAAGTCACATGAAATGTTTACATAACCCAGGATAATTCAAAAAAGAATGTTCACCTGTATTAGTGGCTACTCTAAAACTCACCAGGTTTGCATGCGTGTTCCTCTGCTGTTATGAGTGAGCTAATGAACCATCTAGCAGACTCTGACTGCTGAGCTAACTGCCCCGCAGACTGACTCCTGTGGACAGAGTGTGGAGGTGGCCAAGAGGCGAACATGCCTGCATATTAGAAATCAGGAGTGACAGCAGGAATGGACTGACAGCGGTGGGGATTTTTGAAAACTACTGGGAGGAGGGCTGAAGAAGTGGAGCCTGTTGTTCCAAGTCAGCAAATGTCCCGAGGTTCATGGCTTACTGGCCTTACATGCCCCTGGGCCTAATGCAGTGAGGCTGGCTCTTCAGGCACACCCTGCACAAGTCCATGTTTAGTACCCTGAACTCCCATCCTCCCAGCTGAGGGCATCAACTTTGGAACCAAATCTCTTAGGTGTGAATCCAGAAATGCCATCTACTATCAGAAAGTGAGTAAACCCTAAACTTTTCCCTGTGTATAATATGAGGATGTTTATACTCACTTCATAGGAAGTTGTGAAAATGCTTACCCCAGTGCCTAGCACATAGTAGGTGCTCACTAAATTGTTTTCGTTTTCTATTTTTTTGTTTGTTGTTTTGAGACAGGGTCTCACTGTGTAGTTCAGACTACCTTGGAACTTACTATGTAGCCCAGGCTGGTCTCGAACTCAGTGATCCTCCTGCCTCAGTGCCCCCCACCCCAGAGCTGGGATTACCGGCATGTGCCACCACGCCCAGGTTGGATCGTCTAGCGGACTGAGAGGGCCATCGAAAGGTTCACCAGGGTTCAGAGCAGTCCACAAAATGAGACGCATGAGTTACTAAAGCTGTGCATTTTACCCTTTTCATTCTTTTCTAGAATTCCAGGTTACCGAGTTGGTTGTTATTACTGCCTTTTCCAACAAGAAAAGCTGCTTCCTCAGTCAGCTACAGTGGGCTCTGAACAGAACCCTTCAGAGTATGTGGTCTGCTTTTTGGGAGGGACTGAGAAAGGACTCGAGCTATATCCTTTCTGTCTTTGGGGGAATCAGGAAGGAGAAAAGGGGGAGGCAAGTGGAGAAGTATCTCTACCACCCTCCCCAGGCTTCTCCGCCCTTATGCGTTGTGCTTCATGTGGCCATTTGCCCGACTTGTTTTGATTTATCTGCTTTATTTGAGAGATTTTACATTTCTTCTTGAGAAAAAAACCATGGTTGGACTGGGGATATAGCTCAGTGGTGCCACCACCTGCCTTGTAAGTGCAAGGTCCTGAGTTCGATCCCCCATACCAAAAAACCAACCAAAAAACATTACTGTGATTATTCATTCTTCATTACTTCCTTAAGAACAAACTTTCAGGCTTGAATTGGACAAATATATTCAAGGGCTGAAAAAAAGCATGAATTGTGAGGTAAGATGACTGATTTAATTTCCTAAGACTGAAATGACTGACAAACCATAACTACACTCGTCATGTTGTGTATGTCTATATGATACGTAAATTCTGAAAACTTTACCTTGTGAGCTATCAGACTGGTGATTTTTAAGGAAAGACTGAAAGTTGCACACGACAGCTTCTGATGTGAAAAATTCTATCTATAACAAAAAATTCAACACCATGTACTAACATGTCTGTTGAAGATGATGCCTTTTCTGATGTCTACTCATGTAAGATTTATATTCTGCTCAGAACTAATGGTCCGTGTAGTCTCTGGCACCAGAGACACGCTGTGCAGTGGTATGGCTATCCTTACACTTAACATCAAAGATCTTTACAAACATTCCATTTTCATTAATCGATTCTTTATGAATTAGATATATCCAAATTGACCGATTTATCTGAATGTTTTACAATTGTGCTCTCAGCTTACAGCAGTTAAAGTTATATCTCTTCTAAGTTTGTTGCCCATTAAATATAATAATAATAGTCCCCTTCACTTGCCCTATACGTACAAGAAGGAAAAGTGTAGGAGTGAGCCAGGGGCTTGAATCTGGGGTGCTGCTCTCCTGGACTGGTGTTTTCCCCATGAGACTAGTCCCAGAGAAAGCTAGACATACACGCAGTGGCACTCGTGACAACTGGAGAGGCTTGAGTGCTTTGATGAGTTACTTAGAAGTTAGTCCTTCCCTATTTACATTTTGAGTGCAAATATGAATTCTCTGTATTCCTTCAATTATTCAGTGTCACTTAAACGCGTACTATGCGTGTGTCAGACACCACACCGGGTGCTGAGGAAGGATTATTAAGAGTATCTCCAAAGAATGTGCTGTGAGGTGGGATGAGATGGACAGACATATAATTGCCTAGCTCCTCACCATGAATAGAGTGAAGTGTTATTAATTCAGTCTTCCAGGAAAGCTATAATTCTTGTTGTTTTGAGTTGGTGACGTTTCCTTTTTAAAGGAGGTATAGGTAGGGCTGTGGATCAGTGGTAGGCCCTGAGATCAGTCCCTAGTATGGGACTATGGAGAGTGTGAGGAAGATGTTAAATTTAGCAGGTGAAGACTTATATAGTATTAAAGCAATGACATTCTCTCCCAATCCAGGAGAGGGGCCTGGAGACTCAAATCAAGTCCTATCTGAGCAGCTGGTTTGAGGATGTTGTGTGCCCAGTCCAGAGGGTTGTTCTTCTCTTTCAGGAGAAACTTACCTTTCTTCTCCATGCTGTAAGTATTGCTCAAGGAAGAGCATTTCATTCATTGAGAATCACTTTGGCAGAATTTGGTTTAGAGACGTACTGATTTTCTCTGAACACTGCTTTCTTTCCCCTGAATATTCATTCAAAGTATGTTTGCTAGGCCGGGCGTGGTGGCGCACGCCTGTAATCCCAGCACTCGGAGGCTGAGGCAGGAGGATTGCTGTGAGTTGAGACCAGCCTGGGCTACACAGTGAGTTCCAGGTCAGTCTCACTACATAGTAAGACCCTGTCT